TTCCTAGCTCCTGATATGATGTTATCCTTTAAATTCATAAATTCATCCTTTCGTGTTCTGAATTTCGCTAATGTACAGCTTTTTGAACATACCAGGAAGGTCCTGTAGATTGCCATGGCCATTCTAGATGAGATGAGTATCGCTATAAGCGCTCTGAATGATGATTCTACATCTGCACTCAAATCTGCTAAATGATTCTCTGAACAGAATTATAAGGCGGCAAAGCGCAGCGGTAATGGTGCGGGCTCCAGGGTGAATGTTCGTGGGCTTGGTTCCTTTGCGGGTTCACACACAAGCGCCAGCGTCAAGCCAATTTTTCCTACATTGGATAAAGAACGATCAGTAGCCTCTTCTCTTCCTCCTAACCCCACACCTCTACTCACCGTTCATCTCATCCCAACTCGCCAGGATTTCAACCACACGTCGGACTCTGTGGCTTGTAGAAAAGCGTAAGTTCGACTACTGCAAAAGCCGTCAATAAGGACAATAATGATCTGGGTAGATGTAGCCGTCAAGGTTGCGTTTGGAGGACTCATTAGGTTCATGGACAGCCGTGGAATTGAGTGTTGCTGGACAATATTGAGCGTTGTTATGATTGATGTCCAGTACTAATTATAAGCTATCCGACTGGAAATATTATTCATTTCTTTTGCCATCATATTATTGCCCGAGGTGGTGTAGTGGCGAGGTAGGCCCCCCAAACCAGCCCGTTTGGTGATTTCTGCTGGACACCGTTAATCTGAATGCGGGGGATAGGATAGAATCCGCAGAGGTCGACGGACTACCTTCAACACGGTCGGTACGTTAGGAGAGTGATGATCAAGTGGTGCAGCTAGATCCAGCAGCTCTGTCAAAAGGGCTGGTACGTCAGGACTAAGCCTTGGAGGGAGGACGCACCTACGCGTCCGTCCTCTCTTTGAGGCTTAGTCCTGAGGTAAGCATCAGATTGAGGCGGTCTCCAAGGATCATTCAAGCTAGTCCCAGCACCGTTGGGGAACTCCCCAACATTCAGCATACGCGCCAGCTGAACGCTGAAGGCTGTTTGCCTTACTTCGTGTAGTGGCAAGCGCGATCGTTTTCTCACGCTGCCCCTTACCGGCGCGTCAAGTGCCTTGCTTCGAATCCCACCTATCCAGCCGAGCTTCTAACCCTTCAGAACCAGTTATTTTGAACCAGATTTGTCTGAGAGCTTGAAGACCAGATTGTACGTCGGCTTGCCCTCGCAGGACATTGTATAGGAATTGCTAGGATTCTGAAAGGAGGTACTACAAAGAGGAATGTGTCCTCGGAGGGATCTGATCAGCGCAGGAACCTTCAGCCTTGACCCCCCCCTCCCATTTGTGCTTACCTTTGGAACGCGCCAGAAACTTTCGATCTTTTATCTGCTCCGCTTCTGTTCCTCACTTGTTTTTCATCCATCTGTAGTTGCACCCGCTGATCAGCTAGATTCCTTCTATTTTCATCTACAGCCAGAATGTCAGTAATGCATTTTGGAGCTTTTTACGGTTCCAGCAGGCACGAACCAACACCGCTGCTTTTCGTTGGTCGCTTCTGGCTCCAATTAGATCGTCAGCTGTTCTTGCACCACATCCAGCTCCTTCGTCAGGGAACACATTCCATAAAATATGACATATGTGATGTTCCTTGTCTGCTGAGGTCACGCAGCGGACTTCCTCTCACTCAAAACATCATCCCCTGGGCGATCAGCAGCGTCCACCACCCCGACCAACGCACGTCGGGTCGATGTGTCTCAGCGGCGTGGGGCGCTGGCGTAGTCACCTGTCGCCCGTTCGGGAGTCACCCCGCACAATGTTGCAATATGAGATGGGAATATGGGGGTGAGTGAGTGAGCGAGTGAATGGAGAGTGTGTCTGTCTGTGTTAATGCAATAGCAACGACGACGAAGGGCCGCCTCGTCCAATGCTATTGATCCACACTTCCTGCTATGTGCTTTAGAGCAGCAGCTCGCATGTTTACAAACAGCCACCAACTTAATTGTGGCAGTTGAATGAGCAGGAACTGTCGCCGTGAGACTGTTACCCAGCTGTAACCCTCGCAGGTATAACCGATGTGAGTCACAGGAGGTTCTGCGCTTGAGCGTGGCGCTGATCATGAATGCGCGCCCGCCGGTTCGTCGTCGTCGGTTCGGGTGGTTTTTCTGTGGTGGGACGGCCGTGAGAGCTGACTCAGCCCAAGGCCTGCTGCACCCCGTCGCTGCTCTTTTTTCCACATTCGTTCGTAACGTCGTAGTAGCCGGCCACGGACAGGTCTCCTCGTACGCACTTTTGCGGTCACTTTTTCATGAGCAGTTGCTCGCACACCGACGTCTCCAACAATGCGGAGGTGTTCTAGTCGGGACCACACGTTACCGCCGCCTTCATCATCACCACGTGTGATAGACACCCCTCATGTTGCGCTAGTGTTTACCGACGAGTGTCGCCGTCCGACGGAATTCCCGTCGTCAACCGAACCCGCATTGATCGGTTTCGTCGGCGGCTGCTAATCTGCCCTTAATATCGGCTGCACCGGCGACCAGTTCACCTACGAATTCGTTGTGTGTTTCAACCGCGTCAAAACAGCCCGCTACCAACACACTCTTTTCGATTTAACCGCATCTCCCGTGCCAATCGCTTACCTTCTGCAAATTTGCGTCCACTCAATGGTTCCCATGTTCTGCAATTTTGCGTATTTTTAATAATTAGCCGTTTTTGTCGCTGTTTTGTTGAATGTTCATTGCAACGAACGTTTATAAGCGTTTGAAGGTTCGTCATTCTTTTTTTTTCGTATGACAGCATTACCCTCATGTCGTCATGGAGCAAATAGCATGCCCCTAATAAATCTACTACCATTCACGTCAGCTTGATGAGCTTTGGGTTATGCTGCAATATAGCCGTTGCACCAGTTTTGCTGATACCAAAATGTTTGTCTAGATTTGAGTTGCATTTGGTTTTCTTTGTGGTTTTTCTTTGGTTTTCAATCTGCTCATTCCATAGTGAATGCATGAGAAATAATAGATGGCCAGTCATCTGAGAAGGCATGCACTTTCGAACGTCTTTTCTCGAATAGTACCATATCTTCAATGTTTTTCCAAGTATATGCCCTCTCAAGTCTTGATAAGAAAATTTATTGCCTTTGCAGACCTCTCGCGTTTATCAGAACATTTGTCTTCTGCTGAAACCAAAATGATGAATGCATGTGGAATGCCTTATTAATTTCAACGCCACTGTGGGGTTGGTCTCGTTCGTGCAAGAAACTGGGGAATTTCGTCAATGTGTCCGCGTGATGGCCTCTAGTGCATAAGATTTGCTGCTGCAGTCGAATTAAAGCGGATTGGGTGTGCTTCTGAGACAGCAGCGGTCAAACTACCCCATCTCTTGTCTTTCAATTGTCATTCGCGAACGGAGCATGCTCGGCATCTCATCGAATTACACGCTTTCCTTGACATTTAATTTGTAGTTTTGAATTCGGAATTGGCCCCGCCTCGAGCAAAAAGTGACTCATTTTCTTTCTTTGGGTCAGCCTTGGCTGTTTGTGCTCTCTTTCGCGTAACCTTTTGGCTTGCAGGATTTGTTCTATGATATTTACTGCGATACTCGCTGAAGTGCTCCACGTCAGATCTACGTCAAACCAATACGAGGTTTTTCGTGTGTCTCTCTGACTGGTTTCGACCTCCCGAAACATCCATTCATTTACGTCGGCATTTTCGGGCTACAAAGACGCAATTAGAAGCAGAATTACCCTTCAACGATAGCACGTCTGCGGCAGCCGGCGGTGGCGGCCAGCGACATTTCCATCTATATAGGCTCCAGTTCTAGTAGTCGCAGTATTGCGTGCATCCACAACTGCCAGCCTCAACCCTCATTCACGTATATAACCTTTGAACGTTATGTCTGACAAACCAGACATCTAATTGTTCCTCATTAAACATTGGTTTTTATACCCAAGGTAAAGAGGGCGAAGATCACTTTATTAATTAGCAGATGAGACTTCACGTGCTTTCCACAAGAGCTCATTACTATGTTATCTGTAGTTAACTCTTTTCAACATCTTTCTGCTCTTGGTCAAGCTTCTTCTCAGGTTTTCTCTAAGAAGAGCTGGAATTAAGTACAACATACGTGCGGAATTAAAACCCATTGCGTGCGGCCATTATTACTCCCATCTCGCCTCGCGACTCATTACTGCTTCTTCATCAGTGATCAGAGATCTTTTAGTAATTGGTATACGTTGGTTTTGTTTTCGAAAGCACGCATTAGTATTTTTGGAATGCGAAAATAAAATATCAAATAAACCCAATAAAGCGATTCTAATCCGCAGAACTGCGTGAGCTTCATGGTAGGCACGTCGTCCGGATTGCATTGAACACACGCAGATTTTTTTTATATTGGAGGGGCTGATCTTGTTTTTTTTATTATGATGATTATTGTAGCACTCTATTCTCTAGATGCCTGTATTTGCTCATTAAGTAATCATTAAATTCGACTCCTTTTTTCAAACATTGGTATTTTGCAACTCCAGGGACCGTATCCAATGTTTCCCATGCTGGTGAAAGAAAAGATCCCTTCCAATTTATTGGTTCTCAGTGACAGTTTTCTTACTCTCCACCTTTTCAGGCCGATGTCAGACTATGCGAATCGAGCGCGATTCGTTAGCATCGCAACAAAGGTACGTCCGGCAGTGATTAAGCTTCCTCGCTCCAGCCTAATCGCAAGCAAACTCGCTCAGCAAATAAGACTAGACAAAATCAGCTTTGGATTCGCAAAGTCTGACATCAGCCTCAGGGCGATTCTGTTGGGAAGACGAAGAACATTTATAAAGGTCTTTCCTTCCCGTAGCCTGGGGGAAGGGGTAGGTGCGGCTGCAAGGTTGGGTCCTCTCATTTTACCATTTTCCTCTTGCTTTCTCTTCTAAAGACACCCGTCGTGAACACCCAGGTCTAACATATGGGATTTAAGTGGGCTTTGCGGAGCGGCAGCTTCAAGATGAGTGGGGTTCTGGCAATAATGGTTCAGGTAAGTGAAGATTAGGGAGGAGAATGATGCCTCTTTTCTTAGTTCTTGGACCTGAGCTAGCGACCAAAGTCGGCTCATGGTGAAGTGGCTAATCATTAATAGCATTGTTCAGTCGTGGAATGGTGAAATGAGAGGGATCAAAGAGCAAGATGCACTCGGGTGCGTGGACGCGAAATAGGCGTAAGCTAGTACCTTATCTACGCCATTGGTGGGAGCAAAAAAATTGTTGTTTTTCCTCTGGAATTTGAATAACGTTTAATGACGTTGTGGAAGGCAAATTGAGGGCAGGTCGTAGGCGGTCTTGCAGACAGCTGTTAGTTAGCCAGCGGCTCTGAAACTGCCTGCGTTAAAAGCATGTCCCACGCAGTTCACGTTCAGAACCATGTGACGTATTTGTGTGCGGCAGACATGGTTTCTGGAGCTCTGTATTCTTCTTGATGTCGCCTTGTTCGCTAGTGCATGTCGTTTGATCACTTTTTTTTTACTCTTCAGATGCCATAATATAGGTGGGTTGCCATTTTATGTGCTTTGATGAATGTCAACCACCCCCTTATTCATTTTTCGTTCTCGTTTGTTTCACACTTTAGCTATCACGTTTCTCGCTCCGCTTTAGTGCACTTTCATGACGGTGAATGCAAGATGTTGTGATAAATGATGCGTTTTTATCTGCTATATGAGTTATCTCTAGTGGCTGTTCATTGCTGCATGAATCCAGCACCTTTTTATCGACTCCATTCATCTTTGCTGCCGCTTTTCCTCTTGCGTTATTTTTCCCCCCATAGCCGTCTGCCTCATTTATGTATTCATTTCATATTCATAACAAATTCGACATGTATACATCTAGAGACAAGCAGCATTCGATATCTCCTCAATCAGAACCTGAAATTGCCTCCCTTCGACTCTTCTTCACCCAAAACTCACAATAAAAAAAAAACAATTCTAAAATTCACTGCACCGGTCTCAATGTAACGAGTCTCTACCAGTTAATAAACAATAAATTTTTGCCAAATTAGATCCATCGTTTACCTGCGCTCCGCTATAATACTCTCCGATAATTGTTTAGCATGATTTCTTTGTTTTTAATTTAGTTTAATTTAATTTTTAATTAACAAATGTGTTCTTTTACTCAAACGGATTCTCCACATACTATTTCATTTTGTTGAAAACAAATGGTTGTGTCGGATGGGGTTACGTTACTGTTACACTTTTTATTCGGGGCTCCTTGATCATCCCCTACCACTCGACAAGCGTCCAAGGCCATGTGTGTCTGTGGGTGTTTGTGAATCGTGAATATTCGCATAACACTAGAATGGTTTTCATAATTGTGCTTTCATGTTTTGCCCCCATCCCGTTTTCCAAACTGCTGCTTCAAACGGGCATTATATTTCTCACGCAATCAGAGCGGCACCCACGTCTTATCAAGTTCCACGAGAACGCTTTTCAGCGTTCTTCAGCCATTTTTTTCTCGAATGTGCTTCTTGCTTCCTCAAAAAAGTTTCCACCCAAAGACAAGTGTCTGCCTTTCTTCCCTTGCACAACTCCCTGCCAAATATGACAGTATTTTTCAAGGTTTTCACCACGCACCATTTGCCGTCATTTTTCGAGCTATTGTTCGCTAAGTAGTGAGTTCTTATAGAGCGTACGATCGCCTAGTAGATCCATCCGCATGGATCTACTCGACGTCATATGATTGGTTGCATTCACTGTTCGATTCCGAGCGGTTAGCGAGAATCCTTTGGCGATACTGATCAAGCCTCCCGCGTCTTCGTTTTTCGAAGTTCTTTGCGAAGCGGATTTCCTTCCTGACGAGTTTTTTTGACTGGTGGCAAAGCGTTTTGTCCTTGGCCGCCATTTGCGTCACCTCCTTCTGAATTCATGATTCACTTATTCAAAGCGCCTCTTCGCCATGCGGCCGCCATTCTTATATTCGGTCCAGAGATTTAGGTTGAGATTTGCGGGATTGTCATCCATGTCAACGTTCTGTTCTGTTCGAATGCGATATTATCGTAGCGGAATATTCGTGCAATATGTGAAAGTTCACCCAATAAGAATCTTCTCTCTGCACCAAGACTATATGGATCAGAAGTGAGACACGGGAAATGCGGTAAGGCGCGTGGGCCCTGTTTAGAATCACGGCGTGGGAGTTCGAGTGCATTTTTTATCAACTTTTGAATCGGTTCTCATGTAATCATTCACATTCTAATTCTGACTCTCTGCTACGTGGCGCTGAAGTGGAATTTTGGTGATGATGCCATTTGACGACTTCCGCACAAGAGCAATTTGAAATCGATTGAATTGCTGTATCCAGTCAGCCATTCACCTTCGCGAATGTGTTTGTCATTCTAAATTCTATGGGTTGTTCTGGTTCCTGTCAAGGTGACAGTAACGTGCATTTTTCAATAACCCGTTGTCGAGACGGTTGAATTGACTGTTCAATGCGTGAAGAATTATATCTCACATCTGGGATAGCTGATAGTGTGAGTGTTGTGTGTATTGATTGGTTTGTATTCTTATTACTACCTTACCTCTGTTTATCGTAGTAATCGCCAATTGATTTCCTGTGTTACAACTCTTGTAAATCAAATGCCGTCTTATCGTGAACAGTTAGCGCCTGCGATTTTTTAGTGGACCTCCTTACTAGTAGTGCAGTTCAGTGCGTCGACTAATAAGTGTATCACCATGCGATCTGCAATCGCAATATCACAAACCGTGACCGTTGCCTAATATTGTACTGACGATGAAAGGTCATTTGGTCAGCCCAGCCATTAGAAATGCGATGTGTGCTGAATACGTGCCTCAAAAGGCTGACTTCGAATTTGCTTTCGTTATCTACATAACGATTTCATGAAGGAAGTTATGAAGCAGGAAAGCGCAGCGATAGTCACCCTGGCTCACAGGCAATAGGTCGTGGGTTCGACTACCAGTGAGATCCATATGTTAAAGCCTTTCTGGCTATATTTTTGAAAAGGGTAAAAGTATTGCGCATTGGAGTCATTTTACGATTAGTCATTTCGCTTGCAGAATCAGGGTCGCTACCGTAGCGCTTTCCTGTTTCATAGCTTCTTTCAGGAATGCCTATGCCAGACTTCGCGAATCGAGCGATTCGCTAGCGTCCCGCGCTCGCGTTGCTGGTAGCAGCCAATCGAATGATTCGCTGTCCGCGACGCGCTCGGAAACGCTAGCGATCGCTCGCGTCGCGCAGCAAATCTTACACCGGCCGAGAAAGTATCGGCGCATAAAGTAGGCATATTCGAGTCAACGTCTTGAGGCAAGTAGAGTAGTGCTCAAGTATCTGCCAAATGCTTTTTCGGTCGCAGTTTTTCTGAACTCGTATCAAATTCGGCAAACTCTGATGTTGTAAACAAGTGTTTCTAACACTTCTCTCAGTTATGTATGTGTATGCAATACCTGATAGATTCTCCCCTGCAAGCATTTTCTCTTTTACCGGTAGTGATAGTGTTGTTGTGTTTATCTTTTGTAGCGTTGGCATAATAAATTTGTAACAGTCAAATTGAAGACAAGTCTGCTTCACTGAAATTGGCGTATATCTGTTGAATGGGAGAAAGAAAAGAAGAGTAAAAAATTATTTTGCTGGAAATTTCCAAATGTGACCGAATTCCAGGTCATTCAATTTATTGTAAAAAAAACTTACAATTCAACAGAACCATTGACTGCACAACAAATAATTTTATCAAGTCAACACTTGGTTGTAAACCAAGTCGCTTGAATACGTAACAGGCTTAGAAGGTATCGATCAGTAATTGATTCGCTGCATTTAGACGCAAAGTTCCTCATTAATCTGACCCGCTTTTCGCATAACATTCCACCCTTTCCCTGTCTTAAAGACGCTCAGGATAAATCAATAAGTTCCACTCCGTCAATAGCTCCATGCTGTCGAGAGATGCTTTGCACAATGAGCCCTGCAAATGCCCGCAAAATCTATCCATAGAGTATTGAGTTAATCGAGAACACATATGTGTGCGATACAACGACACCGTCTATGTTAACTACTATGCTTATGTCACTTACAGTTTTTTCGAATACTGGGAAGAGTTGTACGTGCGCCGAAATATGGGTAATGGAATGGGTCTGCGCACATTTGAACTGGAGATCCCCGCAGAGCTCCAACGTCGTCCAAAACGCGCCGAAACTAACTTCATAATGCTTCACAGCGACAGCACAACGCATGTGTGGCGTCTGGACGAAAACATTCGGAATCGAAGTATCAGCTGCTATGAAACAAGGCGGAGACCCAGTTATGGTAGTCTTTAAAAGAGGTGGAAGTTCAGCATCGGGTTAGATACTAAGAGTGCTCATATCCCACACGTATAGCACCTTCGCCGCAACTATAAATTCGCCTTCTAAACAATCACCGCTCACCCAAAAGTCATTGCTCCTACTATGCAGGAGCCTCTCGCACAGTATGGTGTGCTTAACGAGTGCACCTCAGATGCCTATATGCCGAGCGCAGGAAACACAAGGAAAGGGTTGAGGAAATTTTATGCAGAAAAAAAAAAGAGCCAGGAATGAGGAGGATGTTTCCTCCATAAGGTATTCCAACTAAGGCCCTGTTGACTTCAGCAACTTAGCGAATTATCAACAAAAGTATTAGGTATGAAATATTACTCAACAATGAGTAACTGGAAAGTATTACAAGAGTAGGAGTAGGGATAGCTTAATGTTATTGTCATGCTAGTCGATTTTGGTGAATTGAAGGTTTTTTACAAAAAAATTGAAATTTGACTTGAATTTGGTCTCTGACACTAGTGCGCCTGGAATTTCACAAATAACTTTCAATCTTCTCTCGTCATAATTAACAGAAAAAACGCTGATTCTAAAGCCAGCTTGTCTTCAAAGTATATTGAAATTTGAACGAATTCAGTCCCGGAAAAATTACTGCCGAAAGAACATTTGGCCGGAGACTTTTGAGCGATACTGTTTATAATAAGTACAGATCTCATTTCGAGAGATTTGGTCGAAGTGAACAATTGAACCTTTCATTGCAAGTCAGCTGGGTATGAGAGGATCATTTTCCTTGAGCTTTCATAGCTTTTTTCCATTAGGTGGCATATGTACAACTGAACGTAGCCAGTGCTTCTGTGATGCTATTCATAAACACGGCCATTTAGATGGCGAGCCCGTGCCTAAGCGCTAAGCTATACTTGATACCGAGGGTGTCGTAGGTTAGGCTTCTGGAAAGTGGCTGGTAAATTTTAGTTGAAGGATAGAGGGTTGCAAATATTTAATGACGGCCAGCAAGTGGCGTGCGCTGAACGGCTGTGGAATTAAGGAATAACGAAGTGGGAGCTGCACCAATCAATGTTTCCCACTGCCACCGTTCATTTTGTTGACTTGTTTCACACAAGCGCGCATAATGATCCGAAGAGTAAGCTCTATATCTGTGTAGACACCTAACTTTTTCATAGGTTGTCCATGTAAGTGTCAGGTATTAACTAAAAAGCTATATTTTCAGCTTGTTTTTATCGGATAACTGCTTTTTTACGCTGCAGTTCGCGTAGCGAAAGTTATCACAAGAATGCTGAGTTGTGGGCAAATCTTTCGCCCTAGCCGGCATCCGAACCCTAATCTTTCTCCTGTGTGAATGCTGATGGTTATGGTAAATTTACCATCGAAGCTGAGTTGGGGTGAAATGGTGCCCCGGTGGTGTAACTGGTAGCACAATTGCCCGGAAAGCAAGAGATCCGGGTACGAATCCCGGCTGGGGCGAAAGTTTTGTCCACAACTCAGCATTCTTGTGTTAAACAACTATAGGCGGACGGTCCGCCTTATGGATGCAAAATGTTTGAAATTTTCCACCTCTTCATATGATTCCTTTTGAAAGACGATTCGCAGCATAGCAAGATTCCTACTTCTCCATTACATGAAGTTTTATGAGCTACTAGAGTGTACCTTACCTAGTGCCTACTCAGTGTTCGCTAAAAATGATATGGGACAAATGTGGACATACTCAATACGGTGGTGCAGGTAGTCGAAATTGAATACCTTGACCGCTGAGAAAACCTGTGTCGTTCTCATGGTTTTGTCCACTAACAAGGGAATCTTTCAGGGCAAGCTGCGCTTTTTCAAAACGGTTTCTTGCATATTGTAGGGACGCATGTAGGGAACACAAAACCATGTTTCATTTTCGCTGAACGGTTTTAGCAGTACCAAAAAAGAAGCAAGGTACTGTTAATGGTTCGATCCCCGTGGCGACTAAATTTTGCATTTGGGTTGGCGCCTACGGGTTGGTGCCAAATCGCGCTAAATGTCAAAATCAGATGTCATCCATAGTGGAGCCAAAAGAAGCCGCCAACTTGATGCAAAATTTAGTCGCCGCGGGGGATCGAACCATTGAGAGTAACTTTCACTACTTTTGGTACTACTAAAACCGTTCAGCGAAAACGAAACATGGTTTTGTGGTCCATACATGCGTCCCTACAATATGCAGTGAACCGTTTCGAAAAAGCGTGGTTTGACCTGAAAGACCCTCCTTGCAAGGTGGGTGACAATCTGATTTCGGTGATGTTTATTTGCAACATGCCCACAGATGTCGCGTTCGTGCTTAGTGAGGATTTTCCGTCCTCCTCCGAAATGTTATGATGCCTACACTGTTGTTTTATTTTATAGATCGTCGTAGTGACGTGAGGTTTAGCCTAGACATCACCCTTTAGAACTTGATTTCTACTAGTAAATGGACACCCTGCTTTACACTCGTATGAGGTCACTGAGCGTCTCTGAAAAGATAAATACCGCTGCTTTGGGAAGTCGTCATTTCACGCTGCTATGCACAGCAACGCATTAACTGTTCAGAGTACATTCAAAGGATGGTTCTCAGTCTCTTAATTTTTTTTTTTTTCTTATTAGCTTTATTGGGTGACCTCACAGAGCTACCTGGGTCGTGTAATTGAAAGATTGAGAAAATTGACGGTTAAGGTTTTAATTACTCGACTTATAAACTTGACAACTTGACTATGTGGATCTATTAGCCATAGCAGTGAACTTTATATGCGATTCCGTGCATTCGGAATGTGTATATTCAGTAACAGTGTTCCTCGATCCAGAGAGTCGTTATCGAAATCAGAAATCCCACTACGATCATTGTAGTAAAGGTGACTCCGTGACTTACATCCAAAAATTTTTCCGTTTTATTACTCAGTTTTTTTATTCTTGTCGCTTTGCGAAATGTTATTGAATAATGTAGGTCTCTCACGGAGATACTTCCTTTGATTGGTTGGAGTTACAGTTAATACAGTTTTATCCTCATCATCTTTTTTTTTTTTTTTTTTTTTTTTTTTTTTTTTTTTTTTTTTTTTTTTTTTTTTTTTTTTTTTTTTTTTTTTTTTTTTTTTTTTTTTTTTTTTTTTTTTTTTTTTTTTTTTTTTTTTTTTTTTTTTTTTTTTTTTTTTTTTTTTTTTTTTTTTTTTTTTTTTTTTTTTTTTTTTTTTTTTTTTTTTTTTTTTTTTTTTTTTTTTTTTTTTTTTTTTTTTTTTTTTTTTTTTTTTTTTTTTTTTTTTTTTTTTTTTTTTTTTTTTTTTTTTTTTTTTTTTTTTTTTTTTTTTTTTTTTTTTTTTTTTTTTTTTTTTTTTTTTTTTTTTTTTTTTTTTTTTTTTCTTTTTTTTTTTTTTTTTTTTTTTTTTTTTTTTTTTTTTTTTTTTTTTTTTTTTTTTTTTTTTTTTTTTTTTTTTTTTTTTTCTTTTTTTTTTTTTTTTTTTTTTTTTTTTTTTTTTTTTTGTGGGCACGCAAGCCCGCATCGTAATAACTTCAGGGCGAACGAACGCAGAAAGTCACGGGGAACGGGTGCCGAAGGCGATATCAGCGTCGCCCGCCATATACAACCGATTAATCTACGCGGACTGGGCGCCCCCATGACGGGTAACCGTGTGCAACGCGTCCGGGCGCGCCTCCTTTGTTGCTCTCTCAGCCCCCCCTGCACCGTGCTGGCTTTTTTTTCTTATTCCTTATTTTTTTTTTTTTATTTTTTTTTTTTTTTTTTTTTTTTTTTTTTTTTTTTTTTTTTTTTTTTTTTTTTTTTTTTTTTTTTTTTTTTTTTTTTTTTTTTTTTTTTTTTTTTTTTTTCTTTTTTTCTTCTTTCCCTCCTTTTCTCCCTCCCCTCTCTTCTCCCGCTCCCCCTTCTGACCGCCGTCCTGCCGCCTGTTCTCCTAGTTGTGTGTGTTCCTGGTTTTTCGCTCGCCTCTTCCCTGCGAACCTTTTTAGGGTTTTTCATATCATTTTTCGTTTGCCGTTTCATGTGTCAGCTTTCCCCTATTACTGTGTTTTCATTTGTCCCAGTCCGTTTGAATTTTTGCTGTTCGGTAATTCCATAAGTTTTTTTTTTCAAAAATTGTTTGATGTTTCAGAACACAGGAAAGTACAGTCGTCGTACACTCTTCTGAAGAAAGTCATTCCGTGGTTAGAGATCATAGCGGCCAAGAGTCTTCGTCTTCCATCCACGACCATCAGACTGAAACAGCAAACGCTTCAGTGGAGGCGGGGCAAACGGAGCAAGTTCGTGTTTTCAGCCGATTTCGCGTCGCATTTCCAAATCTTGCGAAATGTCAGCTGTTCCAGTTTTACTTGGCTCCAATTGTTTTTGCTATTTTTGTCATTGCGACCAGCATTTTGCACAAAAAGCCTATTTATCTACAATTACTAAGCGAGAAATCGTTTTCAGGCGCCGGTAGCTCTTCAAAGGAACGGTTCTGGTCGTCGTTCGTGGCCCGTCAAAACATACGATCACGTGAACATCTCTCAACAAAAACTGAAAATGCCTGATATTGAAAGCTTTGCTCACAACGGTAATCTTCCTCATCCGGAGAAGTTCGTTAGTGAAGAAAATGCGGTCTTGAGGGATTGGAATCCACGAGCTCTTGTCAGAGCTTTGTATGAGGTGAGCATTTGTGGTGACAGCCATTTGATCAAATAGGCTCGCATCTGTTTGATTAATCAGACTTTTGCCAGCCGTCTTCCTGTAAGAGGATTCTATGGGTTATATTCTCGAAAGTTCAGGCCAGAAGTGTCACGGGAAATGGTTTTTGCTGTGGATGTGTCAATAATCAGAGAACCGGTTGGCTTTCCCTGTTGACTTTTTGACGAACGCAGAGATGGCAGGGGCCTGCCTGATCGTTTCAAAGGTCATATAAGGGAACTAGATTACTTTTCTCCCCCCAGTTTTCGTTCCTATGGAAATATAATGAATGAAATATATCCCTCAAAAACCTATGGTTGTGCTCAGTTTCGAATAGCTCGGCCGCTTAATGCCAATCTAGCACTCGCAGCACTCCAGTTTGGCGTAGCTTTACTAGTGAATGTACCATTTTTGTACATCCAACGATGTAAGCTGTTTTACCTTATGTCCACATTTTTGTACACACCTTGGTCCATTTCAGGTGTCGTACGAGCCCAGGGTGGAAACGAAACGAAATCGTTTCGTCAGCATGGAAGGTCACGTTGAGGTGCCATCGGATGAGACGTCTACCGTAGCTGAACTGGAAAGACACTGGAAACAACTGTATATGCGCACCAAGGAAGGAAGATTACAGATTTTTGTGGTATGTCTTAACTCTTCCTTTTACCCAACTTGCCTTCCATTCTGACACTTTGTCACCGTTGCTAGAGAGGGATATCATGCATAGGGAGCGAAAGAGATTTTCAGTTGGTTGTATTCATAAACGTCATCATGAAATGTTGATTATTTCAAAAAGCGAACTCTTTGAAATGTGGCGTCAACCTTGTTTATTATGAATTCATCATAGCCATCAATAATTTCTGCCACGTGGTGAACAATGCTTTCGGTGAAGGATGCAGCACAGAAGAAAAAATATAATATCAAAAAGGGGAGGGATTGGTTGAAATGGCGCCTCGTGATATGCCACAGCTCGGCTTTTTGAAATTTGATTGAGAGAGTTGAGCATTGTGAAATAAATCAGGTGAAAATTGAATGAGTTGGGGAGGGGGAGGGGTGTGAGTCGACACTTCTGTTCGCTGCTTTTCCATTGGAAAGAAAAACGATAAGAGCGTGGATAAAGTGTAATTGACTCATGTGAAGAAATACTTTTTGATAAGACCGGCCGGAATCAGCCTCGTATGGTGCAAAGAAAAATCATAAGCCAAAGCGTGGGCCCTTTTGCTTCGATCCCCCGCGGCCGAGGGGGTCTAGGGGGTGTGCACCACTGATTGCGTGCCAAAAACTGGATAGAATGCCGATGATATGTGTAAAGTGCAGAGCACTTCGCCCGTCCTTATTTAAAAGTATGCCTCAAGTGAGTCCAGTTGAGTTTTATCAACGCTATCAATCCTAGCGTCAGAGATAACCTTAGCGTTAGAGAAATGGAGTACAAAGGAGCGGCTCTTCTGAATCCATTCACCAGAATTTTTTACGGCTCTTATCTGTCTTCCAAAATCATCTTTAATTACTTCCTGAACTCCTATGTTTAGCTCTACCGCCGTTGTTTCTCATACCCTTTTAACTAGCCATTGCAGAAGCGTCAGCCGAGGTATACTAATAGCAATACCACAAAGGGTGAAAACTTTTCAAGGATTTCGGAAATCTTCAAAAATTCTTATTCTCCTTGTCAATTCGGAAACACTGACACTTCAACACGACCTTCTCCCCTACCCATCGAGAATTCCTCGCCGAGTTCTTGACCGTGTTCGTAGACGCGTTTGACCTTCCATGTGACCTGTACAATATGCTGCAGAAGAAACAAAGATCAAGTTGTTCTTTTATTTTCTAAGAGAAGATCTGGCAATCATCCAATTCAAGAGCGATGGACTTGTTTGGCTTAACTGTTATTCGTGCGATTGTGCCACGGCTTCTTTGGCCACTGTACCACCGGTGCCTAACCAAAATGTGTAAATTACAAAAATTGCCGCTTTATTACTAAATTTTTGTATATTCAGTTTCAAGCTGTTGCTTGGTTTTGAATAAGGTTTGATAAGCCAGAGCTATTTACGGGTGGTTCTGTTGCGCTGAGTTTTGCTTTGGTTCACTAGTGAATGAGTTTTGTAGACTGCCAGCGGGCTGTCCCGAGGCTCTTCCATACATGTGCCCTGTCCCTCATGTCCATAGAACATTCGGTTTTCATGCAGCTTCTCGGATGAAATTTTAGGCAGCACTTTAAATTTCTCCAAGTTCTTGTGATGTTTGACGAAAGAAAGACTAGCAGCAAGATGGTTCCTTTGTTATGAAGCTGTTCCAATTCTGGTTTTCTCCCTTGCGAATTCAAATGCGCTTTGAGTCCAGGGTCATATGCCCCATTATAGCCCCATGGCAGCCATGACATGCAATGTGACGACCTCGACAAGAAGCCGCAGTTAAAAGAACCTAGACTCTGACTTATTCAGCCAACTCTTCCATTCCTCGAGGCAATTAATTAGCTCAGATGAAGAGGAAACTTCGGAACTGAACACTGGCGGTCTTCCATATGTCATTCCTAATCCTGATGTCCATTCATTCGTATGTGATCCTGAAAGGACCAATAAATTGTGTCTTTTCAAGTCGAAGCTCATTTGAGCTGCCTTGTTATCGTGTTAAGTGACCGAGGGTGAGTTTATTGCGCACATTGCGTTAACAAATGCAGTGCTCTTTGGTTGCTGGGGTTCTCTTAAAAATGAGGGTATGAGTTTACACAATTGAGTGATTTAGCAGTGCTGCTCCCATTTGATACAACATTTTTCCCTATTTTTTTTTTGCGAAAAGAATCCGTCGAGAAGCAGAAAGGTGGCTCATTGGTGAATGTAATCAAGCACTCCAATCTATAATGATATGTAGCACACTCCCACGTCTCAAGCCAGCACGATCAGCGGCTGGAGAAAAGGCCATTTCGCTTTTCGTCACTCTCTGCTTTCGATATGCATCAGCCGGTTATGAAGATGGATTTAAATTAGTGAAGCATGATGCCCTTTTCCGTGATAGGTGCTAAAACTAGCAATATGCCCTGTGTCTTTTCAGAATCGGCTTAGATGAACGATACGACCCAAGTGGTAAATTGTGGTCATTTCCTGTAGTGCATTGGACAAGGGGGACCAGCAGTCCTCTCTGATCTTCACCGCTAAGCCACAGCTTTTCTTCTAAAGAGTAAGGCCGCAAACAGGGACACCATAGCTGGAAAAGCTCTTGAGGAAAAACTCAGGGTTGCAGTAAATCTGGGCCCAACATTCGACGACCAAGCTCAAGGTTCATGGGGCGGAGCGCTAGGTTACAACAGTGTTTTTGTGTTTGCTGCAAAGTTCGTGCCATGAGGCGATCTCCAATAGGCCGAAGTCTTCAGGCCACTGAGTTTGCTAGAGTCCTAAGGTTACATACCCGCCCTTTTTGACGTTTATTTTTCCTTTCTCGAAGCGTCTTTGCTAGCGAAAACGTCATCACCCCGCTGGCAATATTTGAGCTGATGGATGGGGAGCATGTTGTTGACGGTAATGCTCACCGAGCAATTGCGACGCCACTAGTAAAGGGTAACGGTTCCTAGGCGTTTTCGCTTTGCACAAGATTAGTATATTGCAAGAACGGTGACGACGTTGTGGGCTGTGAGGTTGAACCTAACGGCGTTGATCCAACAGTTTCATAATTGCGCTGACGCTCTGCGTTCCAAAGAAGAAAAAAGTAGTGCAACAAAAAGATGAAATTCACATGTCATTCAATTCAGATGTCACTCTATGCTTGCTAAGATCGGTGTTATGAAAATGGCGATTTTAATTGGTGAGACTGAGTAGGAGTGAGTGGGTGTATTAAAGAACTATAAGGAATGGGCAAAGAATAGTTTAGAACGCTCTTCGAAAATCTCAGAGAAGTTTCACCCGCATATGTAAAAGCTTGTTTATTATTTGTGTAAGTGCAGAGAGTTATAATAGAGTTGAAATAGACCCCGGCGCATGGCTCCAGTTCGAAATAGTTCTAACAGTAAAAAATGATGGGAACTATTGCTATAGCGAACGGCGGTCCCCCTTAGGGAACTTTGATTTTTGCTCATCCTGCTTCATTTCTCACTTTCAGTCTCATTGTGCTGATGAGGCGCCAGCTGAAGAAATCGTACTCTCCGGTGTTGATGTGGACGCAAACAGAGATGAACGAACGCTTACCATCCATGGCGGGCGCGACCATATCAGAATGACATTACGGTTTGTTCAGTTTTGAAAAAAAACATCTTTTTTTCTCAGATTTTAGAGCTTCTGAACACTTCGTCTTGTTTCGTCTTGACCAAATGTTTTTTCGCGTTTCTATTCGAGCCGACTTATTGTTTGTTTTTTTGTCTTAAAGCGTGTTTAGGCTCAAACATCTCTAGGGGCTGCGTTGTTTTCGCCGATATTTACTGAATCGTCAGTTTTCATTAGTGTTTTCGCCAAGCACAGAAGTGAAACGGATGCAACTAACAAAACATGAGTTTCATGTTTGTCGAAGTTGCCGGACGTCTGGTGGCTTGTTCACAGCCGGGTTGTTTACGGGATTCGCCTAACAATATTTGAGTGGTGGTTTTTGCTTCTTTTCGCGAATACAGCTGACGAAAAACAAGCTCTGTCATGTGGAAGCTGAGAGTTGGGGGTGTTGACGAAGTTGCCACACACAAAACGATAGGAGGATGAAGTTTGCCCTGTAAACATTGAGGATGAAAAAGGGGAAATGTCTATGAAATACGCCTCTTAGCAGGGGTTCGAAAATACAGTTTTTAATTTAGCGTACAATCAAATGTATTCGACAAATGGCGACATTCACTTCTTTCTCATGCTGCTTCTTCTCAAATTGATGCCTATGTTAAGCCGATTCCGAAGACGTTCCAACATCTTACTGAGGTGAAATTTTACTTGAAAACTCCACTTTACTTGAAAACGTGGTTTGCCCAGCTTTTTCTCTATTGATAGGGTCGCATTTATTGAGCTGTAGCGAAACGTCATGAATTTCTGAGGAATTTCGAAAGCAGGACGGTATAAAAGCAAAGTTGATATCAAAAGAAGGAGTTTTGCTGATTAGTAATCGTGGAAGAGGCAACCCCTACTGGTTTGGTCACTCGCTACCTAACTCAACCGGAGGGTTACAGACACGTGTCAGCCCAATTTACAATGCATAAGCCTAATTATAATTGGTACGGATTGGGATTGTTCTGCCAGAGCCGCCTGTAAAAGGAGCCAAATTGCGTTCAAATGCCTTTGCGATTCCGAGTGAAGTTGAATGCGTGGCGCATCCCGAAAAGGGCTCATTAGTGTAGAATGTCCATTCGTCCTTTTTTCTTTTAATGTTTTGGTCTTCAGCGAGTGGTTGTACTTGAAATCGGTCGGTTCTATTCGTGGGGTGTGTGCTAACGACGAACCCAGCCTTCCGCAGTCTTTCTTCCCTGCCATCGCTGTACGCACAGATGACGGTCGTATTATTGTTGGTGAAGATGCTTATGCGCCTGAGGTATGAAATTTCATTTTGTTTCTGTTTTGTTACAAAGTTTCCTTTGCTCATTTTATTTCATTTCCATCAATTTTTTATTGATTTCGTGATGTATGAATTATTTCGAGAACTATTGGTACGCCTCTCTGAATAGTGCACCTAATTAGGAGACTACGGTGGTATACTGTAAGAACGCGCTCCTCATTGACCGAAGCGTTCAGGACATTATCCTCTAAATACATAAATATAAATAAAAAACAGTAACCTATTTATCTGTCGTTGCACTCTAAAGTATGGTATGACAGGATACGCAGGAAGCAGTGATGTCAGGTTGAAGCGCTGTTAGGTAAAATAGTGACGTAGTCGTTTAACATACCCAGCTATTTCTCAAATCTTGACGCATTTTAAGAAATTTGTTGACCAAAAAGCACGGCTGCAACGTCACAGAAATACTTGCACTCTAGCTAACCAATAATTGATCCATACGACACAAAACAAAACAAATGAAGCTACTTTTATTACTTTCGAGGGCGACATCAGACAGCTTCGTCAACCATGACAGGATTTTTTTCTAGCGTATCTCATAGAACGGGTGGAAGTGATGCAGTTGCGATCTGGTGCTTCTCACCACGCGCACGGTCTAACGATCGGATTCTGTATTATACGCCGTCCAGACTAGTCAACCTTCCATCCTCCAGGGATAGAAATTTGGTACCAGACCTGTTTGAGAGGATAAAGACGGTGAATTGTCAATCGGCTGGCGCCCGGAGTCGTTATATGCTCAGGTCTGAGTGAAATTACACGGAATCTGTGGCGCATTCCGAAAAGGGATTAATCAATCCTGAATGCAGAACCCTTTCTAGCGTAGAAATGGACATGATAGTAGAATTAGGCTCTATAGGAGGAACGTCAAGTTTTCCCATTCGGATTGCTCTCATTTTCTTCGTATAAAGGCGGAGAGCGACAGATATTAGGTGAGGGGGTGATTGCGTGGTTATGACAGTCTAGAGATAGACGCCATGTAGAAAATAATAAGGACAATAACTTGCGATTTCACACAATGCGCCCTGCTGCGGTATTTGTTGTTAACCGTTGTGATATATGGAGATTATGTAAGCATGTGACAGTCCTCAGAAAATTGAAGAATATCTTCTTAAAGCGCAGTCTGCGGCTCTCTATTATGGTATAGGTCTGAAAATGGAAGTAATTGGGGCAGACGGTCCCTCAATGATGAAAGAAAGCAAAAAACCGCATGGAATCCTCAAAATCACATAGCACGCTGGCCGTAAGGCCAGGGTTGCACTTCTTCTACAGAAGGAACTGAAGGAAGGAATCGTACAGGCAGACCTTGTAGGATTAGCTTGAAGGAATTTCAGCGGTTTTTTTTGCGTTCTTCCATCACCGGAGGACCAACTACTTCAGCTACGTTCCTTTCTGATTGCAATAATTCTTACCTATCCAGTCGCGATATGCGTCTCCAAAGGCATTTCTTTGACCGCAAAGTCGGACCCTGTCTTCCGCTGCCGTGAGTTGTGCAGAAAAGTGAGTCTTCAATTGATTCTTCAGATTCGCCACCATGGTGAGTTCGTCCGTCCAATTCAAGCCTTGGATCCCAGTGTCGAACGATACACAATGGATCGTGAGGTTGTGAAGGAGTGCATGAAAAAGGTTATCAAAGACCTCAATGGCAATCTGTCGCAGTACGGTCCGCGTTCCCTTTTTCGCCATGCCGTCGGCTTACGCTCATTACAACCCCTTCATCTAGGTCGTTCTGCCAATTCCACAAAATATCCTTATCGCCCTTTTCGACGAACTACTTACGCTTGCTTGAAGGACATTGGATTCCAGGCACGTGACAGTTCTATCCAAATTCCTCGAAGGTTCGTCAACTGAGATAAATGATGTCCTGTAATTTCCAGGGTGCTGCAATCACGCGCCAACCGTCTCTGATCCTTTACGCATATGATGTGACCACCGGTGTAGTTGTCGACATTGGAGATCGTCTCAACATTGTTCCCGTCATTGATGGTTTGTACAGGGTGCTTCAAATGAGTTGTTCACTCACGATCACCAAGTACTTTTAGGTTACGTTGTCGAATCAGCGATCTGTTCAATACCATACGGAGCAACTCAAGTCCGAGAGGCCTTACGAACGACGTTGTGCTCGAAAAACAAAGGGCTGTATTCATTCCAGAGTCCCATAGAGAAGCTTATTCTGCGCTATGTCCTAGAACAGGTCAGTATGATGGATGAACCATAGTTGAGTAGAAACGGAAAGTTTTGTTATTGTTATGCATTCTCAAGCTGACATAGTATGCCAAGTCTCCATACGACGTCCAATAAATGAAGTCAGTAAAGAGTGACAATGATTATAGGCTACTCTTCATGGTCGCAGAGTAAGTGTACGTAGCGTATGTAGACTAGTGTGTGCTAGTGTTCCTACCAGAAACTAGTTTACAATAGTTGAGTGTGGTCAAAAATCTGCACGCAATATTCGCTCTATTCAAAGCCACTTTTTCAGACGAGCTACGTTCCGGACGACTATACGAAGGAAGAGAAAACGTCAAAGGAAGTTAACATATCGCTGGATCGATTTGACCCTCTACCCGGCATGCCAACGAAGTTCAGTGTGAGTGGCTTTTACTTGGATTCAATTATGCTCTTATTCCTCTTATTGATGGGAATGCTCTTTTTTTCGTTATTACAAACACCCTTTTGCTTAATATCATATATTTTCACATTCAAATCTTGTACTCACGTTACTGTATAATACCTACATTTTACAGAAAGGCTCTCGGGTCGCTATGACCGTTCAAGAAGTGATGTATACCGCTAGATGTGCCTTTGTACGCTGATCTCAAATCTACCTTCCAAATCTGCTAAACGATTTCCTGCTCATGTCGTTAGGGGGAAGGACATTTTGAGTGACTAAGCCAGTTACAGTACTTGGGACCAAGTCGATTGAGGGGAGGGTACGCTAGGGGAGGAGGTGAGCAATTTTTATTCTCCCTCTCCTTCTAGGATAGTCCCAGTGCCACTTCATCGTGGTTTTTGAAGACCCTGTTTCCAATGGACCTTCCCCCCCCCCTCGTCAAGGACATGAGCGCCCACGAAAACATTTCCCTGTTTACTCTTATATCTGCTAGCAAAACTGGAGTCGGTAGTAATTTTGCTTCTGTTTTAAGGTTCACATCTCTCCGTGGAGGTACAACGCAGCGTATTTGGGAGCGCAAATAGTGGCGTCAGCGTCCACGTTCAGTGATAGTTGTATTTCACTCGAAAATCTGCCAACGTTCCTATCACATCTACAGTCCTCTTGTTTTTGAAGGTCTCTAAAAGAGCTAAGCAAATTGTTTTGTCTGCTAGAGTTTTAATAGTTCATTATGAAGATACACATACACACATGATTTACGGACAAATGATATGTGGTACAGTAGAAGGCTTCAGTCGCCCATTCGTAGCGTTTTAGCTTTGTTAGCAAGATTTTTTCCTTCATGTACTTCTTATTCAGTTGTGTTGAAGATATTCCATGATTAATGTGATATCTTATCAATGATGCTTAACCGATTTTTTTAAATTAAATTTTACGTACATATATGTTTATCTGATTATGAATCATTTCTATGATGTCTCTATTTGTTCGTATTTTCATATTTTTATGTTTGTGAAACATCTAGACATCTACCATTAAAGGAGAGGGGAGGGTGGATAGAGCGAACAGTTTTTGGATAGAATAGCTTCGAGAGACTATCTACACCGCACTGCGGTGAAACTTCAGTTGGGGGGGGGTTGGACACTCCATTGTGCTCTTCCAAAACAGGACAAGGATAAGAGTCATCACGACACGTAAGGATTCATTCGAAATTACTTCTAATAAGGACCGGAGTAGTCTGGAAGCACTCCTAGGATACTTAGCCTTTCCTTAGCATTATTTGTTACCCCTACTACTGTAGATCGGTTGTCAACAGCGAATCCCCTAGTTTACCATTAGTGGCACAAGTCTTTTTTTAATCAATCTGCATTTTTCATCTGACTTTGATGCCACCAATTTCTTTTGAATCCATTTTTATAGAGCCTTTTTCAAGTCGTTCCATTCATCTATCGTATGTGTTATTGCAGATCGATAACTCACGGTTTCTGTGTACTGAAGGTTTGTTCCGTCCCAAGAAGTGGGGCCTCGACACAAAAGGCTTGCATCAATTAGTGCATGAAGCGGTACAAATGAGCCCAATTGACAGCAGGAGGACTCTTTACAGGTATATACGTAGCAACTGTTGTTGTCAGATTTTTGGCATCGTAGTGATCCGGTGCAGTGGAGCCATATGTATCCGTATCTATACTGAAACCACAAATTTGGATCGGGGCGTGATTACAATTACGAAGCGCAAGGTGTCGTATACGTCGTTGAGCGTTGAATACAAGGTATCACTTACAGAAACATCTATCTTGCTGGCGGAGCGTCGTTAATGCCTGGTTTGGCCGAGAAATTGGAGCAGGAACTTGCCGCCATCGTACCGAATTCCATCCATACACAGGTATGAGAAATTCTAGGGTAGATAACTCGTTTGAGAATATCCAAAAAGGCGCTCATGTCGTTAGGGGGGAGGACATTTTGAGTGACTAAGCCAGTTACAGTACTTGGGACCAAGTCGATTGAGGGGAGGGTACGCTAGGGGAGGAGGTGAGCAATTTTTATTCTCCCTCTCCTTCTAGGATAGTCCCAGTGCCACTTCATCGTGGTTTTTGAAGACCCTGTTTCCAATGGACCTTCCCCCCCCCCTCGTCAAGGACATGAGCGCCCACGAAAACATTTCCCTGTTTACTCTTATATCTGCTAGCAAAACTGGAGTCGGTAGTAATTTTGCTTCTGTTTTAAGGTTCACATCTCTCCGTGGAGGTACAACGCAGCGTATTTGGGAGCGCAAATAGTGGCGTCAGCGTCCACGTTCAGTGATAGTTGTATTTCACTCGAAAATCTGCCAACGTTCCTATCACATCTACAGTCCTCTTGTTTTTGAAGGTCTCTAAAAGAGCTAAGCAAATTGTTTCCATCTGCTAGAGTTTTAATAGTTCATTATAAAGATACACATACACACATGATTTACGGACAAATGATATGTGGTACAGATAGAAGGCTTCAGTCGCCCATTCGTAGCGTTTTAGCTTTGTTAGCAGCATTTTTTCCGTCATGTACTACTTACTCAGTTGTGTTGAAGATATTCATGATTAATGTGATATCTTATCAATGATGCTTAACCGATTTTTTTAAATTAAATTTTACGTACATATATGTTTATCTGATTATGAATCATTTCTATTGTTCTATTTTTCGTATTTTCAATTTTAGTTGGAAACGTTCTACATTCTTACCATTAGAGAAAATGGGGGAAGTGAGTATTAGGTTGGAAAGAAAGTTCTGCAACACTCTTTCTAAAATTTTCTTTTTTTCTGAAAAATTCATAGGTAACATTTATGACTAACAAATGGTAGAGCATTCTCAAGGCTTTAATCCACGAGGTGGATATAAGTGCTGCAGTCAGTAGTTATCCAAGAAAATTCGAAAAACCTCGACCGATCACTAGTAAATCCATACTCCGAGTCACTGTCTAGTACAAATGTCTCCACAACGGTGGATTCGTGTCAAAGACCAACACTATCTGCAATAGCTTCAATAGGCATGTCGTTCACGCTACAACGTGTTTCACCTTTACCAGCGCTTCCGATCTTTTGATATTTTTATAAGAAGCCAGCAGCGTCCCTACACTCCATTACAGGTAGGGCTCTTACAGAAGCTCCACTACATACCCTTCGTTATGGGCACCATTGTGTAGGTAGAGGCCTAGGCTGTGGAATACCAGAAGCTGGCCGAGGCAGCTCGTCAAGAGCCCTCGTACCGCGACAATATTCATTTCTTTCATGACATTGCGAATCACCATGATCCGAAATGAGCCCGGTAAGAAATTCTGGAGTGCGGCAAGATTTCTTACCTCTCTTAGCGTATTCCCCTGGTCGAGCTATAAATGAATGCCACCTATCCTGACCTTAAATCATCATCTTGATGACGAAATAATTAGACGATCAACTCCAACTCGAAAGTGAGGTCGCCTCCTTTCTCGACCCGCACTCCGCTGGGTTTTGGCAAAGGAGCATCAAGAAATTTTCTGAGCGTTGAAGACAAGTGGTGGACACTCATGGTAGATATAAGACCGGTCAGGAGTTGTAAACAAAAAAGATAAAATTAAAATCAAAAATTTGAAAAAGTGTTGCAGGACTTTCTTTCCAACCTAATAATATAATAGATGAGGACATATCTACACCGCTCTGGTGAACTTTCAGATGGGGGGGGGGGGGTTGGACTCCATTTTGTTCTTCAAAACAGGGAAAGGGATTAGGAGTTATTCGTTGCCGTAAGGATTCATTTCGAATGGGATTACTTTCTAATAAGGGACTGGAGGGTGTGTGGAATGCCGACTCTAAGATGCTTCTAGAGTTCGGCCTGCTGTGGTCCAAGGGAATGGTCCTGAACTAAGGTATAGGCATCCTTCCCGAGACGCGAGGGTGTAGGGGCCAAGGGCGGACGATTACATGCCTTAAATGCCTATTATGCAAAGGGAGAATGGCGTATTTGTTGCACTAGCGATACTTTATACAATGTTACTTAAATGAAATTAGGTGAAACTCCAGTTCGGGGGGGGGGCACTCCATTGCTATCTTATCCGTAGTACTAGAGAGCAGTTCTTTGGGCTATCGAACACTACGGATAAGATAATAAGTGAACGACTCATTTCGAGCGTACTTTTGATAAGGACCGGTGGATGTCCTACATTCCACACTACCTGCCCACATCCCATCCACTTTTCTGCACAGGTGATCCACCCTGGAGCTCCTGCACCCTTAGCCCTTTGCGGAGGTGTCCTTTCTCCTGGTCCAGGACCGTTCCCTTGGGTCATGGCAGGCGGAAATGTGAAAACGTTTCAGGGTTTCTCACCCATTACACCAATATTTATCAGAAGTCTACTTTAAATGAGTCGATTACGTGTCGTGAGCCCTCTAATCCTTATCTTGAGTATTGGAGAAAAAATGGAGTGGCCCCCCGAATGAGTTCCCATTATCTTACCCTTTAATGTTAACCCTTACTGTTAAAGTCCAAAGGAATGCTCTCTAGCACTACGGATAAGATATCCCTCCTTCCCCCCTCCCCCGAACTGGAGTTCCACCCTATGCCTGTGCCTATATTTGAGGATACTCGCAGGATTTATCGCTGTTAGGAAATCTACTATGGGTTTCAGATTGGCGCCCATCATGTCCTTTTCCTAAATAGTGTTGTCAAGCACTGAGTAGTGCCATTTTAATAGTGATGAGAGCTCGTGCCAAAACAGCGATTGAGGAACTATAAAAGTGCAAAACCGGCCCATTTCTACTCGATGAGATAAAACTAGTAACTGCAACATTAATCCTACGTTTCCACTCAAAAGTGCATTCTTTTCCCGTAAAACGTTTCCATGCCTCATTTACGACCATCTAAAAGAACGAAGATGAACGCCTGTGCTATCGACCATATTACAAGTCCTAATATGCTCGAGTTATGTGAGGGATTCTTTTTTTTTATAAATCTTCCTATACCTAATGTTTGTGATACATGAGAGAAGCATTGAGTGCTCAAAACAAAATCGGCATATAGCCTGAGCCTCATGCTCTAGGCGCACCGACCCAACTAAAGGCGACTATTGCCACATCTAGGTGTATATTACGCATAGTCCAAGTCGTTGAGGCAGGGTCGGTCCTATCGTTGCTACTTTTCAAAAAGTTTTTACGACCCCCTCCCTCATGAAATGTTTCATACGACCCCCTCTTTCAAACAATTTTTACCCCAAAAAATTACCGTCGAGCGGGGGGGGGGGGGGTATATACTTCCCATAAAACCGCAAAAATTCCCTACATTTCCCTACAATTTCCCTATATTTTACCCATATTTCAACTGCTCCATTTTCTAGGGAGGTATATACGCGCGCTGAAACGGCAAATTTTCTCCCGCGCCGCTCCCCACTCATCACATGCAACTTCTTACAACCGAAGCAAGTACGACCCCCCCTCTACAAACTCATCAAAATACGACCCCCCCGTTGCTACTTGTAGCAACATAGGGTTGACCCTGATTCTCCTCTACTGGAACACAGA